TTCAGCATAGGGTAAAAATTCAGTTGTTCATTTAAGTGTCTGGCTTCAAATCTTGAATATGAGATCGTGGCCAATTTCTTTATAACCTTAGCCTTGATTTCCTTATTTATGAAATGAGGATAAAAATCTACTTTTGGGTCAAATGAGATAATCTATGTAAAGCTCTTAGCATGGTACAATGTTACAGGAAACTCTCAGTTTATCATCATCATCATCATTATTATTACCATAATTATCATTATTATTCAGAAGTTAGATAACATTTAAAGGCATATAGCTAATTAGCAGTTTTAAAATGCTCTGAACAAAAGTTAGCCTGGCTCCTGAGCCATAGTGCCATTCCAAGGCACTATGATCCTGCTACAAAACCCACATTTAACCAACAGCATTCAGAATGGTCAGGTAACAAAATATTTTTTCCGTGTTTTCATTTGTGGTACAGACAGTGCTCGACAAATGTGCCCCACTACATTCTCCAGCCTGAGTTGCAGTTGTAGTTGGGGCCATGTGACTATTACTGGCTCATATTCTACAACCAGAAATGCCAGATGTCACCTAAATGCAGAAGCAGTTAAAAAGTGATATACTTTCATAATTCGACTCTTCACACACTCTCGTGTCTCAGCCAGCACATCACAGGATGACAGGAGCCTAAATTCCTGAGTCATAAGATGGCAGAAACCTAAATTCCTGAGTCAATACATAAGAGGAGAGCCCTTGCTAATTTGAACTGGAATTTGTATGATGGGAAATGAACTTTTGTTAAGTGACTGATAAGTGACTTTTGATAAGTGACTGAGATTTGGGGTCTATCTATTATTATAGCAGTATGTTCTTAATTCAACAAATATTTATTTTGCTCTTATAGTGCACCAAGAACTGTTGTAGGCACTGAGAATACAAAGCTCCTGACCTCATGGAGGTTAATATTAAATTGTCCCTTAGAGCAGCGGTCCCCAACCTTTTGGCGGGGTGTTTATTTTTTGTCTTATATTTTATTTGAGTTCTTTACAGATTCTGAAAACTAGTCTTTTGACAGATGTATAGTTTGCGAATATTTTCTCCCATTCTATAGTTTGCCTGATGACTTGGCTAATTATTTCCTTTGCTGTGCAAAATCTTCTTAATTTAATTAAGTCCAATTAATTAATTTTGTTCCTGCTGTATTTGCCCTTAGGGTCTTAGTCATAAATACTTTGCCTGGGCCATGAGATCTGTTCGTAAAATATCCAGCCATGTTATATGAAAAATAGAGACATTTACTGAATTAGATACAAGAAACATTCTACATAGGATGACACCTCATTTCCCTTCAAAGTAGGCACCTGGGGACATCACACGGTTCTCCCAGAGTCTCTTAACCTGACCCATACACGTTCAACATTCTCAGGTGCTCTGCTTGCTGCAGGCCTTTTAGAATGTGGATCACTTTCGACAGATTTTTTATCATCTTTGAAAAATTTGCACCACACTTTCATTCGTGCTGCACTCATTGCATCATCCCCGAAAGGCTTCTGAATCACCCGAATAGTTTCCATGGAGGGATGTTCAAGCTTAATGCAAAATTTGATGCAGATTCATTGCTCTACTCGTGTTCAGTCATTTTAAATGCTACCTCCACACAGTACACACGCTCAGTCAGCAGCGTCTAGCGCCCCACTGACCAGTACAGTGAAGACGTCATTGTTCACACATGCACACCAGTCTACTCTCCTTGGCTGCCAACTTACACCAGTGTCGTGCAAGCCATTCTTGTTATATTAACAATGACTGGATACTTCCCAGACAGCCCTCGTATATCTAGAAGAGTTTTTTCTCTGTTTTCTTCTAGAATTTTTATGGTTTCATGCCTTACATTTAAGTCTTTAATCAATCTTGAGTTTAATTTTTGTATACGTCAAGAGATATGTATCCTATTTCATTCTTGTGCATATGGCTATACAATTTTCCAGGCACCATTTGTTGAATAGGGCATCCTTTCCCCAGTGTATATTTTTGTCTGTTTTGTTGAAGATCAGTTCATCATAACTATATAGTTTTTTTCTTGGGTTCTCTATTCTGTTCCATTAGTCTATGTCTCTACTTTTATACTAGTACCATGCTGTTTTGGTTAATATAGTCTTGTAGTATAATATGAAGTCAGGTAATGTAATGCCTCCAGGTTTGTTCTTATTGCTTAAAATCATTTTGGCTATTTGGGCCGAGTTGCTGCAAAAGACATTATTGCCTTCCTTTTTATGGCTACTGAGTAGTATTCCATGGTATGGTGAAATCAATAATCAGTCAATAAGTATTATAGACATCTCCTTAGCATAGAAGATATAAGAAGCCATAAAGAGTTTTTGTGTCATAACCAAAAGAAAGACCAGTCTTAGCTCAGTCTCTTTTATTCCTAGTGCTACTCAAACTTAAGTTTTGTTGATTAATTACTTTGAACCCTCTCAGGCTTTCTCAGGCTTTCTCAAAATCAGAAAATCATTAAAATTATTCATAACTAAATCATCAGTATATATTTAGAGAGGACAATAAGTTAATAACTGTTAGATAACGTTAGGTGAATATTGATTTGTGATTAGCAAAATAACCCAAACATAATCAAATCTATTGATATGTATTTGTAAGATGTGAAGATGTTGAAAAATTGATTTGATTTTTGAAAGGCAAGCAAACAAGTTTCTCCTTGTAAAGTAGTGTTTTCTGCTAAGTTTTTATTTCCCCTCTTTTATTCAAAAAAAAGCATTTATTGAACAGTTACTGAAGTAAAATAAACTTCTGGGTTTGGGGGTTAAGGATAAGGATACCCTGGTCCTGCCTCTGAGACAGTACCACTGACTGGGGAAAATACAAACCGGTAAACCTAAGGGTAATGCAAACAGGATGAGATAAATGCTGTAGACACCAGTGGGAGTGTGTGAGGTTTCCAACACACATTATTTTTCATGAATATATTCCCTCGTTAAAACCCTGACTCATCTGTTCAGTACAGCAGAGTTCCAAAAATATTTTTCACAGATTTTTTTTAAATTCATATAGTGAAATGAAATAGCTCTGTACCTCTGTTCAATTGAAAAAAGAAGGCTAAAACTGCTTACCTATATCTCAGGAGGATCAATAATTTTTGCACTTTAAATTCCCTGTAGGTCTATATCTTTGTAGAGGATTCATAGCACTGCAAGCTAAAGATTATTCTTTTATTGTCTACCATTACAAAGAAAAATTTCTACCCAGAATATAACAAGAAATCTCTTGCCTGCAAAAGCTGCTTGGTTGGGTTAAAAAAAATAATAATAATAAGAGTTGCTTAAAAAGTCAGTGAATCCCATATTCTTAAATAATTCAACTAAGAATTAAAGTTAAAACTATTATAGAAAATGTACATATTTTCTGATGATAGATACCATTCAGGCAATTTTATTTTCTATATTTTCTGTGATTTCTTATGGACAACAGTGAAAAAAATTGGAAATATGACATAATGAAAAAAGCCACAGATTAATACTCAAGAGACCTGAACACACTTGATCACTAATTAATTATTAAGAAGTTACTTAAGGTCTTTAGTACTGTCTGTGGGGCAAAAAGTTGGGAGCAATTTTAGCCCTGCTGCCAATCAATTTAAACACCAAAGCATATAAAGTACCTGTGAGATGCCCTATGAAATGAGATGCTTCCAAGGAACATAGCTTGAAAGTAAACCCCAACAGATAATTTTCCCTCTAAAATTAAATACACTATTTTCTTTAAATTGCTAAAGAAGTAAACTAGGCACAGAGCTATAGGAAAAATAAAAATAAATGTTATTATCAAAAAAAGTTCTACATATCAAAATGCTCTAAATCACAACTGGAAATCCACTTACTATGATGTTTATAGAGTTTTTTTAATGTTATATAGTATGCATGTATATTTTCTCTGCATTAAAAGTTCATAGTAAGCAAGAGAACCCAGAGTCATGAAGAAAGCTCATGCTTCACTTCTCTTTATTCCTTTGCTTTAAAACAACTCTCCCATGCCAGATGATTGCAGTCACTAAAAGAAAAAAAAAAACAAAAAAAAGAAAAAAGAGAAAAAAAAGAAAAAAAAAAAAAAAAAAAAAAAAAAAAAAAAAACAACTCTCCCTAGGAATATTCTGCATCGATACCCAAATGTTGGAAGTTGATTTGAAAAATAATTTCAACCTCCAAAAAGTCTTTTTGGATTTAAAAAGAATGGCTAAAAATTTAAGATATTTTATGGATAATTTTTGAGGTTCAGATTTAATCTTGAAATACATAAAACATGAACGAAGCAAAGCTCTGAAGCTTCATCTGTATTTACAGCTGCTCCCCATCACTCTGCCTGAGCCTCGCTCTCCCCTGCCCCCACAGTGGAAAAATTGTCTTCCATGAAATGGTCCCTGGAACCAAAAAGTTTGGGGACCGCTGTCCTAAGTGATTAAAGGGCAGGTGATATCCATAGCATGGATATACTGAATAAAGGGACGATTCACGTCTCAAACAGAATAGAGAGGGACAGTGGGTGATTTCATCATGTTATTCAGAAGCGCATCCAACTTAAAATTTGTGAATTGTTTATTTCTAGAATCTTCCATTTAATACTTTTGGGCCACAATTGACCATGGGTAACTGAAACTTCAGAAAGTAAGACCACAGATAAGGGGGGACTACTATGCAGACTTCAGCTATTTTGATGATTAAGCCCCATTTCAAGGACTTAAAAGAAATACTAAAAACTATACATATAAATATATAATGATTTAATAAGAAATCATTTTACTCAATGATTAAATACTATATTTATAATCATTCAATAAAATGTCTTTATTTCTATTCTAACTTAAATGAACTGGAAAAATATCTAAGTATCTATTTTTACTTCCTAGGCTGCTTGTAAGATTATATAAATATTAATTTTACTGTGGAATATATGAAAAATGGCATGACAAAATGGAAATACAAGGGAATATACTGTACCTTGTTTTACCTGTAAGGAACACACACCTGACAAAAGGCAATTTTCACATCCAAGGTTGGTTCACTGCAGTAGTATAAGAAATGGAGGCTCATAAATACCTGCAGGAAAAAAATGGGTCATGAATTTTCAAATCACTGACTTTTAGTCATAATTTGAATTATACACAAGATGTTGTGCACATAATATATTCAATATAATCTTTACCTGGACAAATGTGAGGTATTTTTCATAAATATTAAATAATAAAATAAGGTAAAAATTTCCTATCTTTTATGGTGATCAATATCATCACAACCATAAAGATGAAAGAAATTGGATATATCTAAGTGAAAGTAAAGTACATCCTATTGTACCACACTTTCAGTTTTTGGCATCTAATTAGAAAAATAACTCAAACATATGCTCAAGAAAATATATATGAAGATGTTTATTATAGAATAAAAGTACTATTAAATATAATTTACATCAAATTCTATATAGGACTTGGAATAGATTAGTGCTTAGTATATTCATAGAAATTTATCAAACATGATGTTGAGTGGTAAAAACAGCAAGTTTTAAGGGTATGAAGATCACTATATTAGTGTAAAATTTTTAAATATACAAAAATGAAAATACACATTGCTTTTAAGTACAAATAACCACAGAGTAAAAATAAACTGGGCACGATATTAATATCTTTTTAATCTTGATGGGAATACAAAGATTTCAATTATATTATTTTCTGTATGTTCAAAATATTTTATAATTTTATAAAGTTTTAAGAAGAGGAAAAAGTTATCTAATGGTGGTAATGCTGAATTAGTTACTGGGTTATTTGGGAATGAGGCAGCAGCATCAGAGAAACCCAACTGAAATTCTATTCAGTTCAATTAAACAAACTTTTTTGAATGCATATTGTGTGCAAGACAATTCTGTGAGATTAAACCATTTTAAAATCACTATCGGTGCAAGACTTCTGTTTCTGGCAATATAATTGATTAAACATCCTGAAAATCACTTTCAATGCAAAACTCCTAAAAATGTTAGATAAAATATACAACACATCTTTTAAAATGCATAGATGAGCTGCCAAAAAAGGCAAGAAAAGTTCTGGGAGGTTGAAAACGATGTGAAAGGAAACATGCAGAGAAGCAAATGAGCTGAAGTTTCTGCTTGTCCAAGGCCATCTGCTGATGTCTGAAGATGAGAACTTTAGTTCTTAAAGGGCACCACGCAGAGTACAGGAAACAAAGCTTAGACCTATCTGTGGTGGAAAATCACATCAAAAATACTGATCAAGCCTACTAGGGGAATTATTCAATAAACTCCAGGAGGAAGAAAAATAATCCTTCAGGAGGAAGAAAGGTCTGAATTGTAAGAAAAAATGTTTTGCATTGGAACTTGATGTGCAGATTTTTCAAAGTTAAGGAAGATGAATGGACAAGAATATATAAGACATTCCTGAAGACGAATTAGATGAGTGTTTGCCTGGGACGAGGGAAGGAATTGCTCTATCAGACATTAAGATCTATCATAAAGCTGTAATAAGTAAAAAATGTGGGATTGATACAGAGATAGACTATTGATTAATAAAATAGGAAGCCTAAAAACAGACAAACACATGGAAACCTGATTATGTTTTTAAGGACTGCATTGCAGACATCTGAGGAAAGAAGAAACTATGCATTAAATCATGCTGAGGTGATTGGTCATTTGTATGGGGGCTGGGAAGCAGATCCCTGTTGGAAGACAATATTCCACAGGCCTCTCACATTTCTGCATGGTTTTTAAACAGAAGCACTGGTTGCCTTTGTTCCAGAATATCTTCTCAAGAATGCTTACATAGCAGGCAGCCTTGAAAGATAGAGATAGTGTGTTTCCCTGAAAATAAGACCTACCCATAAAATAAGCCCTAGCAGGATTTCTAAGTATTTGAGCAATAGAAGCCCTACCCCGAAAGTAAGACTTAATGACGGGCGTAGCTACACAGCACATCTGCACAACCCATGCGTGTCGTCGCTGGGCGGGAAAGAAGAAGTGCAGCCCTTCTCATCTGCCCCGTGAGAGCTCTAGTGCTCAACGGGAGAGATTGGGGCCAATGGTTCTAAAGGAAATAGAGTCGCAAGACATTCAGGATGGAATTCGGGGTTTGGAGAGTTATAATGATGTTCCAGAAGAAGATGACTTAACTCTATTTGAATAAATGTAGATTGTTGTACCGTACTTAAAAAAAAAAACACACATCCCCTGAAAATAAGCCCTAGGGTGTCTTCCTGAGAAAAAATAAATATAAGACCTTGTCTTATTTTCGGGGAAACATGGTAAGCTTGATTACTATCCAGTATAATAAAGATAAAGTCTCTTTGGCACAAAGGTTAGGTATGCTTACTGGCCATTATAAAAGATTTTGGTTCCCTAAGGTTTCTCTTCAATAATGCAACCCACTTTGTGTGCAGTTGTCACCTGACCTTCTTTGCATCACCCAGTGGGAACTGGGGCCCAAAGAACTGGCATGAATGCTGGCATTCTAGCTGCTGTTATTGCTGTGAGTAATAAAGACCCTGTATCTGATCTAGGAATCTTGTGTCTCCTGCCAGCACCCATGAAACCATGGCAGGCTAACTTGTGAATCTGCAAGCATAGTAACATCTCAACTCTCCAGAGTTCTTGACAATCCCTACCTCAAGTTGTGCACAAAAATTAATTCTAGATGGATTAAAAACTTCAGGAAAGGTCAAACTTTAAATAATACACAAGGAAATATAGTTGAATATTTCTAAGAAATATCTCATAAATAATATATTAATATATTAAGTTTAAAGAAAATTATTGATAAAAATATATAGTTTATGAAAAGATGTGATAATCTTTTTTTCCTTAATTGCTCCTAAAATTTGTGTATTTGGGGCCTGAACCTAGACACAAGTATTTTACTTATTTCTAAAACATCCTGTACAGAGTTATATTAACATAGAGAAATAAAGTTTTTTATCATCCTTATAATTTGGAAAATTAAAATATTTCTTGAATTGTTTCTAATTGGTTCAACAGGTAACACTCGTTCAGGTTTTGCTATCAATCACAAAAGCCATTTGTCCAGGTAAAGTGTCCAAACTATTATTCTTTGACTAGTTACATCTTTTTCTTCAACATTTCTCAATATGTTTTGTCATTATACTTATCAAGGAGTATACAACTCAGCTCCTTAGTTCCTGCAAGAAACCCTATGTACCACCACCATAGCTATCATCCTACATACAGAATACTCAGCATGTAGCATCCTTATATCCCACATATGTGTACTCATTTCTAGGTTTCTATGTGTACATGTGTGAATTATACATAGTCTTTTTTTCTAAATAGTTACTGGGAAAAAAAAAGATGGTATTTTTCCCATAATGAATCCCCATTAATAAGATAATATTTGTAAAGCATTGAATATATTATCTTATGTATAGTAAATGCTATACATATGCTTTTATATAGAGAGTTTGATAGATAAGTAAATAACATTTCACATCACAGAAGATAAATACATATTGACTGCGAGCCCCAAACTAAAAATAGCAATGGAATGTTGTTCACAAAATCATTTTGATTTTTATTTAGAATTATTTATGAAGTGAAGTACAATTGTTTATAATATGAATAATCATGCTTAATATTAACCTCATTTTAAAACAAAAAATTATTCAAATTCCCATCACATTGATTCATTGAAGAATATATATTGATTCTATAAATATTTATTAGTATCCATATTAGGCACTGTTACTGGGGATTCCATGGACAAAAACTCAAAGATAAAAAGACAAAATTAGCTAGCCTTTAAGGAATTACCATTAAATTAAAGTATGATACATGTATGTAGGTTTATTTTTAAATCCTAAAAGTTCACAATTTTGTATTAGAGTAACTTTCTAATTTTTCTAAGGCTAGTCCCTTAAAAATATGTTTATTATAACACAGATGGGCATAATAATAAGCCTTAAGCAAGAAAAAGAAATAAAATTTTGGGCAATTAATTTAAAAGGCAAAATGAAATCTTAATTCCCCTGAACAAGTAGCATTATTGCTTTAATTATGTATCTCAGAATAACTAGGCCAATAGTGGCTATTAATTAGGTGAAATGTTAACTTGAATTCTGGAGAGGTGCTGAACTTACATGAACAAATCCATCCCTCAAGTGATGTGGAAAAATCTAACAATATAATGAGCCGAATAAATTCAGAGGTCACTCTATCTTCCAGTCACTTAGCAACTGAATTGTAGTGAAGAGGGCAAGAGGGAAATAATTTGTAAAAATAATTAACCATAAACTCTGTAGTGGAGATAAGTGAAAAGGAGGCTGGAAATGGAAGCAGCTTTATCCAGGGCTTCAAGCCAACTCTTCTTGCAGGGAGGAATTTATCACCACACAAAAGCCCCAGATATAAGGTTTACCTCTCTTCCTTTTTACCCATACATCTCTCTGTGCCCTTTACTTTCCTTTTTCTGTTGATAAACTTCACGAGCACACATATGCTTTTGCACACATGGTGCCTAAGCAAGACTAAGACCCTATAATACAGTACAGCTTACATTTGTAGCCTTTGCAGACCAGTACAAAAACAAACAAACAAATAAACAAACTAACTACCAGTCAGATGTGACTGCCCAAGATTTCTTCATCTTGAGGCAGTGATCAAAACTACAGGTTGTTTGGTGGTCACTGCAGTGGCGGCAATGGGTAATGGGACGAGGCAGTGATTATGGATGTGTAGAAGCAGCAGAGTCCAGGGTCGTTCCTTTAGGCTCCTGCATACGCTTTGTCTACCTTGGCTATTGACTGGTCCTCCAGCCATTCAGATCTATGCACCACCTCATGTCCTGTTACTAAACTCCTTTCGGCTTAACCTAACAAGAACAAGAAAAAAAACTTTTGCAGAGTAGAGATTATACAGAGCAAGAGAAGATTCAGTTAGAATCAACACAGAGACTCTCCTCAGTCGATCGTTAAAGTTTTTAATAGAGAGAAACTGGAAATTACTACCAGAACCCATTATTCCTTTATTATTCTATTGTATGTTAATCTTGTTAGGAAATTGGTTTGGCATTCTCAACAAATTCTGTTAT